AGGATTTGGTCTGGTCATGCCGCAGACTACACAGAGCCTTGATTATCATTTCACCTCAGATCACAGTTCAGCCATGTAAACCCACCAAATGGAGCATGAGTGATGGGAATATTTGAAGTAAAGCAGATGATGTTTCCACACATAGACCAGTCATGAATCACGATTACAGCTTGGGGTACGTAAAGTAAATAAAGGTCCCATTAACAAATAAAATCCAGCAACTCAGTGGTTCATGTCAGCTCAGAGAATGTTACGGAGATTCTCTGAGCTCGTTTGGTCCCAAAGACTCTTTATCTGATTCGGGTCAGGTGAGCAACTGGGATCCAGTGGGGTTTCAAGGGATTAGAAAAGAATTTGCCTTTGGGAAATTCCTTCCTGCATCTGCCTTGGTTTAACTGTCCAGTGAAGACTAGAGTGTTTATAACTTGGCAGTGAGCTCTTTAGAGCTAAACATGTGGAGGAATTTGCCTGTGGAGGCAAACCAGCCCCACTCCCTGTTCATTGCAGGTACCTGTATATACGTTGAGAGATTCTCTGTAAATGGGGGGAGGGGTGGATTTGTCCTATTTTGCTGCTCTGTGATGGCTATGAACAGGAGAGTGGGGGAAGCACTGCTTGTTTTTGTTTTTTTAACTAAAAATTCAGGTCTTGACTACCATGTTTTTCCTGGAAGACTCTAAAGTCAGGGCTTTGGAGCGGAGTCCAGAGCTGGAGCGCGGAGCAGTAGGTTTTTGCCCGGAGCTGGAGCAGAGCAGTTCCAAAATGTGATTGCTCCATATCCCTGCTAGAAGTAGTAGGATTATGATATCATGAGCACAAAGTGAAACATGATTGAATCAAAATCCCTTCTGCTTTGAGTTAGTCCATTGAGAATTTTGTTTTCATTACGTCTCCTAAAACCCAATAAACCAAATATGCCTTTTTAATTACCTACAATGACCTTATTTGGCAGGAAAATCACAGCAAGAAATATAAAGAAAGAACAAAAGCCAGTCAAGTTAGTACAGACAGAGGGTCGTTATTTAAAGGTACATCCACTCCCACTGAAAGCTTTGGGTTCAGTCTTCAGCAATATTGGCAGTTATATTTCTATAACAGTTGGGCCCATTGCATGCTTGGCATTGTCCCCGCAAAGAAGGAAGACAGAGTCCCTACCCTGAAAAGCGTACAGTCCCTTGCTGGTTTTCTGAATACATATAGTAACCACTACGCCATATAGGCTTTGCTTTCAAATGCATAAATTCATAGATTCTAGGATTGGAAGGGACCTCGAGAGGTCATTGAGTCCAGTCCCCTGCCCGCATGGCAGGACCAAATACTGTCTAGACCATCCCTGATAGACATTTATCTAACCTACTCTTAAATATCTCCAGAGATGGAGATTCCACAACCTCCCTCGGCAATTTATTCCAGTGTTTAACCACCCTGACAGTTAGGAACTTTTTCCTAACGTCCAACCTAAACCTCCCTTGCTGCAGTTTAAGCCCATTGCTTCTTGTTCTATCCTTAGAGGCTAAGATGAACAAGTTTTCTCCCTCCTCCTTGTAACAACCTTTTAGATACCTGAAAACTGCTATCATGTCCCCTCTCAGTCTTCTCTTTTCCAAACTAAACAAACCCAATTCTTTCAGCCTTCCTTCATAGGTCATGTTCTCAAGACCTTTAATCATTCTTGTTGCTCTTTTCTGGACCCTCTCCAATTTCTCCACATCTTTCTTGAAATGCAGTGCCCAGAACTGGACACAATACTCCAGTTGAGGCCTAACCAGAGCAGAGTAGAGCAGAGCGGAAGAATGACTTCTCGTGTCTTGCTCACAACACACCTGTTAATGCATCTCAGAATCATGTTTGCTTTATTTGCAACAGCATCACACTGTTGACTCATATTTAGCTTGTGGTCCACTATAACCCCTAGATCCCTTTCTGCCGTACTCCTTTCTAGACAGTCTCTTCCCATTCTGTATGTGTGAAACTGATTGTTCCTTCCTAAGTGGAGCACTTTGCATTTGTCTTTGTTAAACTTCATCCTGTTTAACTCAGACCATTTCTCCAATTTGTCCAGATCATTTTGAATTATGACCCTGTCCTCCAAAGCAGTTGCAATCCCTCCCAGTTTGGTATCATCTGCAAACTTAATAAGCGTACTTTCTATGCCAATATCTAAAATCTGGCCACTTATTTTGATGCCTAGATGGAACTGAACTCTCTTGCAAATCTGGCTCCGTGTTGATCTGTTTTCCTGAATCGGGTATGTCAGTGATCCCAGTAACTTCCTTCCATTTCACTTTCAGCTAATACCCTTTGGTCCTGGGGAAGGCTAGATAATGGGTTCGTAAGTCTTGAAACAAGGTCAGGCCATTCGATACATCATAAAGCAGCAATGAAGGGTCATCTTTAAACTAATGTGGCATGTCTGTTTTGTAAAATAAAGCTTTGACAGCCTAAAAACAACTGCCAATAGGAAACAGACGGAACCATTTCAAAGCATTTGCAGTGCCCTGGACTATGCGCAGGCCTAGGGAATCGCTCGCTCATACAGTTTTTAGTGGGGCAATCAGATGTTTAACTATTGTGTTTGGAGTCCCGGAGGAAAGTCTAATTTCCCATCACGTAGGCTGGAGACTAGGGACAGCAACTGAAATTAAAGAAACTGCCCTGTTCTGATATTTCGGTTGCTTTTGATTCTATTGAAAATATTTATATTTTAACAAACAATTTCTCTCCATTTTTTCTGAAAGCCCCAGTGGCTGGAGTCGGGTAATTACGCAGGAATCTCTATTTCCTTTTTAAAAATCCCCAAACTTAAGTTTCTAGTCATCTTGTTTGGACAGAAAAGCTTGAAAAGATTAACCAGAAGCCCAGGAAGACAACCCAAACTTCTTCTTTTTTTTAAAATGTCATGCCGTGTAAGCCAATTTCATGATTTTTGAATGCTTGGGATTGGCAATACAATGTTCTCCTGTTTTTGTGCTAATTGCTACATGCACAGTTAAAGGTTTGCAGTAGTCTTTGTACATGCAAGTAGTCCCAATGAGTCCGGTGATACGACTCGTGTAGTAGGAAGGGTTTATAGGACTGGGACCTCCGTTTTTAGAAATATAGGCCCAGATCCTGGGCTGCATCCAGCCCAGCTCAGGAGTGGAGGTAAAAGTGGTATTAAAGTTACCTTTTACACACTCTGCTGTGGGACCAACAGGCTGCTAGCCAGTGTCCCACATAAAGTACAGTAGCCTCAGGGAGTAAAGACCCTGTGGACAGCCTCCCACCCCCTATATTCACACGTAGCAGGAGCCAAGAGGAACGCTGCTATAGCAGCTGTATCCTACCTAAGGATTCCCATATCCAGGAGGTATCCTCAGGGTCCAGAACTCCTGGTTTTCCAGCTCTTTTGGCACCACTGTGCAGGGACCAAGCTCTGGCCTAGGTACTGGCCCACAGAATCCCCACGATGTGGGTCGTATTACTGGAGGAACCTTGCTTTTTGCATTTCCCTGTTTTTAAAAACTATTATTTAACTGTGCAACAGAATTTTTGCATTAACGCCTTTGGGGGGGTATTTAGTTTCCTTGTTTTGTTAAGGGGAGGGAAGAGAGGGGAAATTCTCATGGTTAATCATGTTAGTATTTAAATGTTCCCAGTTAAGCTTTCAAGTCCCCACCACAATAGGGTGGCAGGGGCAGATATCAGACTGAGTGAGATGAAAGGAGAGGGGCCATGGTGAGTTCATTTGGTGCTGATTGGCTTTCAAGGCTGAGTTAACAGGGCAGCAGCACAGCTGCGAGCAGACCTCTACGCAGCAAGGTGCCCAATTTTTTCCCCCTTCCATGAGTAGCCCCATTGGCTTCAGTCGGACTCATGAGAATAAAGGTTATAGGAGCAGGTCCTATGGTTGAAGTTCAGCCCTTTGCGCCATCTGCAAATAAAGAACCTGCTCTTGACACTAGGAAATAACGTCCGTTTTTTACCCTTCTGTAACTTGAGTGTCTGAAAACACTCGGCCCGATTCTCCTCTTGCAGACGCTGTTGGAAATGGGGAGTTACTCGACTCAAGTTAGCAGCGTTTGCGGCTATTCAGCACTATATGCAGTAGCACTTTACAAACATTCATTAATTAAGCACTTTGCACTATTGTGCTCTCAACAAGCGCCAGTTTGGGGAACGAACGTTTGACAGAGTTTCAGTCCTGGCTTCCTAGCACCATATTCCTGGCAGGGTAGTCCCAACCCTATTGCTTTTCATAGGCTACTCCTTCACCCTTCCCATTTCCCATCCTATATCCCTGCTACGCATAACAGTTCCATGGGTCCCTTGTTTCAAGGCAGCAGCTGGATCTGTCATGAAAGGAAGCAAATGAGCCTCATGTTATTCTCTCTCTCGCTCAGAGTGAAGTCAGACCCTCTTCTGTCTCCCAGGGCTGAATCTGAAAGCTATGGTGGCATTAGCTTCCTGTGATTGGTTGATATTTTGCTCTGGCAGAAGTCAGCACCTGTTGCTGTATATTACTCTGTAGAGACTGAGCCAGACAAGAGGCTGAAGGAAAGACGGCTGCATTCAAGCCCTAGGTATGCCTTTTGTGGGATTTTAACTCTTTTAAGCGAATACAGGAAAACCCATGGCCACGGAATGCGCGCCTGGAGTCAGAAGTTAGTTGCTGGCTAGCCGGGGACAGATCTGTGTCTAGAAAGAGCCTGTAATTCCGCTATCTTGAAGGACCTGCTGGAGAGGGGAAGGGGGCTATTTTTGGAAGCTTCTTTGGTGTGAGTTAGTGGAGTCAAACTTCAGTTCTTGGACCTGAGCTCATCTCTGAAAAGTCGTTGCTGACATGAAGGTAGAATTGTAGGATTATTTACATGTTATCTCCATGGCGTCCACAGACATGTTAGGTTCTTTACAGAGCTTTGCACTAAGGAGTATACAACCAACAGACCAAGTGTACTGTTGTGTGCAGGGGAAACACACCAGAAGCCATTCTTAGGTGAGTCTTTCAAGACCTTGTAAAAGGATTCAGAGAGCACAGTGGAGGAATGAGTTTGAATAGCAGAGACTATGCGTGTGAGCTGTAATTGCCACATTTGGCCTACGCAGTCGTCACAGTGTTAGTATCTTAACTGCTACTTTGAGAGCTCAGAGATCTGACCCATGAAACCAAATTCTGTTCTACTGGCTGATGGAACCTGTTCTATGACCATTTTGACCATCTACTCTGTTGACCCAAGCTGTCAGCTTAGGCTTCCTCGCTTTATGAAGGCAGGGATATATGATGGGTGTGAATGGGGGTCCACAAGGTCCCTAATTCAGCTGTTGGAATCCTGGAACAATGGTGTCCGTGTGTAAGCACACGCTCCCTCCCAGCCCAGAAGTTCTGTCAGGTGTGGTACGGCATAAATGGACCAGGTACCAGCCATTAGTGAGCGTGGGGCTTCAGGGTATCCATGAACCACATCTAGTATTGGCTCCTGGTTTGGAGCAGTATCACACTCCTAGTCCGGTTGAGCATGTACTGGAGTTGGGAGGCAGGAGCCGTCAGTGAACTGGCTGAGGAGAAGGAGAAATTCCAGCCGGGCTCAAGTTCTGTCATCACCTCCCTTAACGCTGTCTGAAAAAGGAGGTTTTCTGCAGATTGAGCAGAGCAGCCGCAGCCCAGAACAGGAGAGGAATCGATGACTCAGCGCTGAACTGTTGAGACTAGAAAGGTGCTTCTGTTAAGTCATCAATTTCCCTTCCTGGTAGACAGCAGCCTCACTCTCCTATTTGCACAAAGCTTCCTGCTCCAGCAGCATCAGCCCAGCTTGGGCAGAGGGTGAGGACAAGGGCTTCATTGTTATAACAGAGGGACACAGAGGGCAACTGGGGCCCTTCACGGCTTCAGGGGTCCCCCTGTGGCGACAACCTTCGCAACTAAAGGCTGGTGCGGTGCCTAGGACAGGTATTGGAGCTGGGGATTGGTTTGCTATTCGGAGACTCTACCCAGAGACAAGGAAGTGAACCCAGAACAGGGAGTGAGCCCAGAATTTCAGAACTCACTGTGCAAACCCTGCTTTAGGAAGAGTCCAACTCTGAACCTCCTAACAGTTAATGTATGTACCTGATGCATCCTGACAGCCTGCTAGCCTTAATCCATTGACAGTGGGGAGCACAGAAGATTGCATTGGGGAGCAGCAGTACTGAAAGTGTTAATTGCTTTGGGGTTAGCGCATGTGCCATTAGAACACTGGCATTCTGTTAACAATAGCAGCCCTCCCTTTCTACAGCCCCTTTCGCCTCAAAGGGCTTTGCTTCACCTCTCCCTGCAATGCAGCTGTCTCCGGGGTGGAGCGCTGCAGCTGTTTAACGGTACGCAGCAACGCTGCCCAACAGTTAAGAGCAGGGCGCAAAGCAGAAGTGGAATTTGAGGGGGAAGTTAGAGAGACAGTGGCACTACCCAAATTGGAAGTTGTTCAGAACACCATGGTTTACACCTCTATTTTTAGAAAATTGCCATAGGATCTTTAATGACGACACATGGGCTGGATCTCAGTTTTACGTATCCAGATTCCAGTAGAACGTGGGCATTTCAAGTGGGGTGCGCCGTTAACAGGGTCTTAAGGACCGATGGTATTTTCCTGCTGTGATCCATGGAATCGTGATCCTTTAAACATATAGACGTTTGTAAGATTTCTGGTCTAATGGGCTGAGCACAAGACTAGGAGCCAGGAAATTCCTGAGACGTAATCCCAGCGCTGGCACTGACTCCTTGTGGGGCTGAGTCACTTAACCTCTCTGTACCTCGCATTATTCCTCCTAGAGTAGGCCTAGCCCGCAGCAGGGTTGTGAGAGGGCTTTGAGATCCTCCACGGAAAGGCTCTCTGGAAGGGCTGTGGCTGGGATTGCTTGCACAGCAGGGCTAGCGATTGCTTGCAGCGATGTTTTCACACATGGATACCTGTGTCATTCAGGCACTCCACCTGAATTCCATTGTCTTGGACGCCAGTGCTCCCCCTTGCCAGCTGTGTTGTGTGCCGAATTTGTTTTTCCCCCTCTCTATTTAGCAAGGCTCCCTGGAAGTGACATGGCAACAGGCACCTGTGAGGTATTGGAGAGAGACCTGGAGTGTCCTGAGGCCATAGAAGAGCTGCCAGTGCGGGCAGAGAGAATTCCAAGGCTCTCGAGGGAGGACGTGAGAAAAGGTACCTCATCCCTACTTTGACACCGGAGGCCATACTAGGAGGACTTTCCCAGCAGTGGATGCACAGGCTGTTCTTGCCTCCAGGGAGTTAAAAGGCAGTTGGGCTGTGCTGATACCATTGGAAATGTTCCTTGACGTGTCTTGTGAGGGGATTATATGCTTAAGATCCTGATCTTTGCAGTGAGAACGGCTTATTGAAAATTATTAAGTGACCTTAGAACTTGCAGAGAGCTTAGTGCCGGCTTTTAGAGATGTGCTAAGATCCATGTCAGGAATGCAGGCATTGGACTATTTGCCTTATTCTTTAAAGGTGACCTCTAAAGGAGAAGATATGAGATTTTTATACCCAGGTTTGCTTCTTTGTGTAGCATTGCATTTAATTAAAGGCCCAACAGAAGATTTTAAACATTCTCTTTTCTGCTTTTTTGCTTATACTAGAAATTCAGGGCCATTGCACCCTATTTCCTAGAACACTGTATGGATGTCTGGGGAACTAGGAGGTTTAAAACATATATAGCAAGATAGCAACATTGGAGTGAGAGGAGGTGTCTTTTTTATTCAGACTGCATAAAATATTTTGGATTGTATGGTTCTGGGAATGCCTCTTACTCAAACCCTGACAAACAGTTGGGAGAAAAGCTCTTTTGTTAAAGATTCTTCATATTTGCATCTTTAATCAGAGAGTGGTTCCAGTCTGTATCTCTGGGTCTTCGTTGGGATTTCTGACTCCCTGGTTTCTGCAAGACCAGATTTAACATTCCTGATATTTCTAATGCAGAACACAAGTAGACTTTTGTAATTATTAGTAAATACATTAGGCCTTCTTTACACATCAGAAAGAAAAAAGGGGAAAATTCAATTGTTCTGCTCTTGATATGACCTTTTAAATTACATTTCAGGAATCTGTATTTTCTTACTATTCACTGGTCCATGACTAGTGCTAGGGGATGGAGGTGGGGAATCTTACTGGTCCTGAAAATCTTTAGTAGCCCAAAGCTTAAAAAATTCCAGGGCTTTGATGAACCTTTACACATACCATATGCAATTCCGATCCAATCCGGCTCCTCACTGAAACGAAGGGAATTTTGCCATTGACTTCAATGAGGGCAGGATGGGACCTTTAAATACTGTAGATTTCCCCAGGATAGATAGAGCCTCATTAAATTGAGGCATTATTTTAATGAGTTTGTATTGAACTTTGATACATGCCAAACCAATGGAAATAGAAAATAACAGTTAAGAGCTAACCAAGGAGAAGCCCCATCATCGTATTTACTGTATCAAGCCACCGGAGAAATCCAATTACCAAGCTGCTTTTTCTTACACACTTCGTTTGTGACGGGATGTTAACAGCCACAGTCTCAAGATCCAGTAATAAGGACCCGGCTTTCAGAGGCGCTGAGCATCTGCCTCCAATTGCTCAGGCCCTGGGACGACAAAAGCTGGGATTCCAAGCTGCCTTCCGATGGCATAGAGCCCCGGGCTGGGGCTGCTGCGGCGCTCCAGTTAGTGGGCTGTAAACGTAGCTGAGAAAGTAGGTTGGGAGAGTCAGATGATAGCTCCTGACCCCCGGGGTGTCAATCTGCTCTGACTAGATATAAATGGTATCTTCCACTGGGAAACAAAAATTCCCAGCTTCCCGGGGGGTTTATTGTCATCTTCTGTAGCACAGGGGATTTCTGAGCTCTCGGCTCTTGGTTCCTCAGGCTAACTGTATTTTAGATCACCGTTGCAGGAATGACGACAGCCAGCAGCCAGTGTCCTTTTCTAGCCTTGCTGAGATGCCGTTTTCAGGGGATTCTTGTGCATCTCAGGCTCCATCAGGTTAGAAAGGGAGGCCCTTAGCCATTGCCGGTCAGTTTGAAATACAAAGGGACAGAAGAGCCTACTGCACTGTTGCACCGGTGGCTGCAGTTTCTAGCACCGCCTGATGTTGACCCTGTTTTTGGCGCATCCCTGGAGCAGAGCAGGAAGCCAGGATGCCTGGTCAGCAGATAAATGTGTTTTGCGGGTGACATCAGTTTCTCCCTCCACTTTTTTTTTGCCTGGGAGGTCCAGGGAGTTTGTCCCATCACTTTCATTAGCCTGGTGCTTGCCAGCTCCAGGTTCCATTCCTACACCCAGATTTCTCATTTGAAGGCCAATTGGGCAGCTGCTGTGAAAGGGAACTTTCAGTGTGGCACGTGAGAACTGCCTTTTAACTCCTGCTTACCACGTCTCATTATAAGGGTATGTCTACACTACAGGATTAATCCGAATTTAGATAATTCGAATTTGTGAAACAGGTTGTATAAATTCGATTGTGCGCGGCCACACTAAGCACCTTAATTCGGTTTTTAACCACATTAATTCGGTGGTGTGCGGCCACACTACCCCATTAACTTAAACACAGTAATTCGGTGGTGTGTGGCCACACTAACCCTAATTCGAATTAACAAAATCGATTTAGGCGTTACTCCGCTCGTCGAGGTGGAGTACAGAAATCGATTTTAAGTGCCCTTTAATTCGAATTAACTGGCTCTGTAGTGTGGACGGGTGAAGGGTTAATTCGGATTAACGCAGCTAAATCCGAATTAAAGTCCTAGTGTAGACCAGGCCTAAGTGTGAAAACCTGCCTTGCTGAGCGATTACTGATTTGAGAAAAGCACCCAAACATCTTCCCCAGTAATTGCATCCGCTTCACTGCGCAACATAGCTCTACTTCATCCCTGGAATCCCGCACGAATTCATGGGCCGCGGGCAGCATGGTAACCGTTTTCAAGTACATAAAAGGTTGTTAGAAGGAGAAGGGAGAAGAATTGTTCTTCTTAACCTCCAAGGATAGGACAAGAAGCAATGGGCTTAAATTGCAGCAAGGGAGGTTTAGGTTGGACATTAGGAAAAACTTCCTAACTGTCAGGGTGGTGAAGCACTGGAATAAATTGCCTAGGGAGGTTGGGGAATCTCCACTGGCGGTTTTTAAGAGGTTAGACAAACACGTGTCAGGAATGGTCTAGATAATACTTAGTCCTGCCATGAGTGCAGGGGATTGGACTACATGACCTCTCTAGATCCCTTCCAGTCCTACAATTCTGTGGTCTATATAGAGGTTAGGACCTTTGGGTCCAGATGCACAGCTCCTTGAGTTAAAGGACAATTTATTGATGTAGTAGTAGTAAGGCTTTTATCTTCTCTGCAGGCCGGCCACTAGGTGGCAAGATGATCACATGCTATGAGCCCCTCATGCTGTCCATACTTTGTTTTATTTTGCTTGCACTTGTTTTTAACAGATGCTGAAGTGCTACAAAGCGAAGAGGAGGTAAACAGTAGCTCACTTGTAAGTAGCATCTATCTAGTAATCCTGTTTATAACTATCTCCAGACTTAAGTTCGCGGTGCTGAAGGCCCGGGCTATGTGACACTGGATGTTTGGAACAGCCCTTACAGTCTACAAGAAAGGCAGCAGAGGCCTGGTCTTTGGATCTTGGGGAGCAGGGTGGGCCTACTACCCCTTTCCCAAGATTTGCCTGCATACTTGGTACATCCAGTTAAATCAGCAGCAGGGCCTTGGATTCTTATGATTCTGATAGATTAAATTAGCACTGGTGAGAGGCGCTGGATTGACAGCCCGGGAGAGTGAAGGCCTCAGGTTGCCCACAGCAAAGGTGCAGGTGCAGGGCAAGCATCCACTGTATTGTCCTGACAATGTGCCTTAACTCTGGCCAGGAGGGGCTGCCCCTGTAGGTAGGAGGGGAGTCCCATGGCCCACTCAATCCTGGGACTCAGACTGCCAATGAGGGGGGGCGGTTGTGAGGTGTCTGTTGGGACTCAGCTCACTTCCTATCAATCATTTAACACAGGCCACCAAGCCGCCATCAGATGGATCTTACCAAGCTAGGCTGGTCCTAGACATGAAAGGCTCCATAGCTCATTGCCCTGATCCCTCCATTCCCTGGGGGGGAAGAGCTCTTGGCATGCGCTCTCAAAACCTCTGCTTCATCAGCTCCAGGAGTTCTTCGGGAGTAAGGACATACAGGCTCAAATCCTCCCTGGTATTTAGGCTCCTAACTCCCATTGATATCAGTGGGAACCTAAATACCTCTGAGGCTCTAGGCCACAGTGCCTCAGAAGGCCTTATAGTAGAGGAGGAAAGCAGCAAGGAGACCATTGCTTGTTACTTGTAGGCATAAGACATAGCTTGGCTCAGGGAAACAGGGAGGAAGAGACCAGTCACAAGTGTGGAAAACGGCCTCCCATAAACTAATAGGGCTATGGGGTTAGGCTCAACTTGGCGTTGTGTGAGGCAGTGGGAGAGAAGATGCTGGGCAGGAAGATCACCATTACTAAGCATCCAACAAGCAGCTGAATGTGCAAAGGAGTGTGTTAAAGATTATTGACGAGCGGGGATGTTGGTTGCAGGTGCTTAGGGGTGCTGATGCAAAGGAGCGGTTGGGAAGTGGACGCAGATGTTCTGGGGGGTGATAGAGGAATTTCTGGGCTGATAGGCTGGGCTTGTGGGGAGTTGCTGAAGGTACCACGGAGAACATGATAATGGAAGAAATAAAACTAGGAGCATGTAGTTGGAAGACAGGAGTGAGAGGAGACCAAATCAGACCTCCTGTCTACTTCATCCCATAACAGAAGAGCAGGAGAGAACTCACTGAAATGAAAGGGAAGCCAATCCGCAGGAGAGAAAACCGTCTTTAGAACATCACAGTGATCAGGTTAACCACTACACTGCCCCCTAGTGGCCCATCAGGGCACAACTCACCCCGCCACAAGTTTCCGCTGGTAGGTCACTGTCTCTCACAGGGTCCAACATAGCAGTGCATTAACCCTCCAGCCAAGGCACACTTCAGTCCTTTCCAGGGTATTAAGGTCCAAAGAAATCAGGAAAAAACACAATTCAAAACAGGGAAATGCAGCAAACCTTCAGCAGGACCCTACCCTTCTGTTCAAGGCTTGTTTCCCAATAACCAATACTCCAGCCATTCTCCTAAGGGTCGGTTCATCCCTTATCCACCCAGCAAGCTACCCCAGTCTCTGGGCTGTAACCAGCCTTCTCTCTCAGCAGGAGAAGCGGAGCTCTGCAGTACTTCTGGGTCATCCCTGCCTTGGGCTCGGTCTCCTTCTTTTAACCCCTCTCTCCATGCCAGCAATTCGCTGCAGGGATATTGGGGCAGGGGCAGTTGGGTCTAGTGACACTAACTAAGATAAAACCATAAAAGAAATCGGTCCTCATGCTTCAAGGTGTAAACCAATCCTCAGAGGGGGTCAGGACTGACTCCCTGCAGCAGCTGCTTTTTCACAGTTCGATGAATCATGAGGGTTTTCCACCTTCCCCTGAAGCACGTGACATTGGCCACAGTCAGATCCAAACTACAGGACTGGCTGGCCTATTGGCTTTCTGCAGGTGAGGAAATTCCAATGTCCCCCACTGGGAACAAAAGCAAGAGTCCTTTCTGTGGGCAACATTTAGCTGGAAACGTCGCCTCCGCGGGGCTTTGAGGGGAATCACAGCCCACCCGTGTGCAGTCAGAGCCAAAGGTATCATTAGTCAGCTGTTGCTGTCACTGATCTCAGTTGACTGGCAGCTCTCCCCCATCTGCTAGGAACTGGTGCCTCTGACACATGTATTCATGAGTCAGTCGCACTGCACCTCTGCAGTCTGATTCATGGGGGAACCCTGGTCTCTCTGTACCCTAGCAGGAAGGGACTAGAACCAGAACCAGGCCTCGGTGCCTAATTTATCTCCGTTTCTAAGCTCCCTCTCTCCAAAGGATACGTTGTCCTCTGGGCAGACACGTCAAAGCGGATTAGCGGCTGCAGAGCGCTTGTGCTCAGCAAAATGCCTTTTGCCAAAGGTTTGGCTCCCGTTCACGTGCCAGGGATTGAATCACATAAATAAAATGAACCAACAAGAGCGTGATTGTATCCCGAGCTCAGCACGGCCCTGCTTCCCCACACAGCCCCTGCCAGTTTCCACAGGAGGCTGGGCAGAGATTGATAGGGCTCTCTGGGGCGGAGTGGGACACTGCCGTGGGGGGTATTGTATAATGCAGGCGTGTTTCAGATGCAGAGCTAATACAGAAGGGGATTCTAGTAGATCTCTCACACTGCGGCGGATACTCGAACCCTGTCAGGTTCAGCTTCATAGTCATCAAGCAAAATGTCGAGCCTGTGAGATTAGACAGAGTCAGGTAATGAATATTTCCCCTACCCCTGAGTTTTCGTCCTTTGTGCTGTCATCTCTTCTCGGGCTTTCAGGCTTTGACACGCAAAGAGCACTTGTTGGCAGGCACCGTACCACCACCACTGGCTCCTCAGTGTGCCATGGCCCACAGAGCTTGGCAGGCCCTGAATAGGGCCCCATCAGAACGGATCCATGGGTACAAACATGGCCCAGCACAGTCATTAGCTAAACTGCCCACGTGCAGCATAGAGACTAGAACTGCTCCCAAATCTAGGCTTTGTCACTTGACCTAAGGGAGAACCTCCAGCAGCTGGCACTAGTATTAAGGTTTTATCCTCTCTAGGTAGAAGTCACTAATGGGACTCATAATTGACTACATGTGAGTGAGTCTGGTTCTCTCCAGCAGAGGGCAGTGGTGCACCCCCCCCCCATCACATTACAAACTACAGCCCCCTCTGTCCTTGTTCCATTCATGAGAACCACTTACAAACCTGTCCCGTCCTCAATGCCCGCCAACAACTCTTCCCTACTGGGGGGACACACTGTAAACACGAGAGCTGTGCGCAGCCCGACCAGCCTTGCTGGGAACTGCATTGCGGGCTGTTACGAGTCCCACAGATTGCCACCCTGCTGGCCTTGACCAGTCTGTCCAGTTCATCCGCCTCTGGGGTGGAGCGCGATAGCTGCTTAACAGTCCTCCTCCATAGTTTGTCAGGAAGTGGAGAAGAATACGGTGCGGGTAGATGGAATCAGTCCTTCTTAAACAGGAGGTGTTTGCTAAAGAAAATGGCGACGTGCAGACAGACAAACAGCCAGGGTTCCACACAGACTGAGTCCCATCTGTGTCTCTTCTTAGCCAGGCACCACGTCTTGTTTAGAAGTCTGTGCAAGCAGCATATAGAGACATCTGGGGGAGGAATAATATCTTGCAAACATCATTACAGATAATTGTAGTTTGTTGCTGAGGGGATTACAGCCAAACTATCTCTGGTTTGGAATGTAGCAAACACCAGGGTAAAAGCCTCCACTGTTGTGATGACCAGAACTGGTCAGGGCCTTGGTTTTACATCTCATCTGAACCACCGCCCTCCACCCCGGCACTTTGCTCGATAAAGTATCAGAAAGAAGAGTGCTGCTACCTATCAAGTAATTTCCTACAGGAGCTGGGTGTTCTTAGAGGTCTCCTGCCCCAGGACCTGACCCAGCCCAGCCCTATTTAGCTTTCAGGAGCTGGTGTGATCACAGTACCCTTGCCGTTTTTAGCTTAGCATAGCTGTATATGTTCATCTTATTTCTAGCCACCTGTCACATCCCTGGCTGAAATGTCCTAATGTAATTGTCTCAATAATGTCCATCAGTGGTGAGTTCCATAAGTCAATACATTGTAGAAACATATTTCTTGTTTCCCATATTCATGTCTTCTGTCTTTTAATCGTGTGACGGCCAAGGTATCAGGCACTGAACCGGGGACCTCCAGAGAATACAAGCATAAGCTGTTGAGTAAACCACCTTCCCAGCTAGGGCTCTAGCAGCCACCTGTGCTTTCGACTGGGGACAGAAGGGGCCCTAGAACACACATGCCCCAGTGGCTTACAACGGCACTGCTGTTTTTTTCTCCATAATAGTTGCAGACAGATCCCCTGAGCTGTTTTGCTTCTCTCCCCCGGCTGCTCTGGCCACGTGATCCATTCACTTTCCTTCATCTTTCAGGGGATAGAGAAGGAGGAGAGGAACACGCTGCACGTCATCGAGAAAGATCTAGATGAGTTTGTGGAAAGCATAACGGACACACCAGTCGTCACGGAGAAGACCGTGACGAGGGTAGAAAGGGTGGAGGAGACAGCCAGCTCTGCTTCGCCACAAGGTACACTCGTCCGCATTTCTCCTATCAGCCCAGGAGCACTGACCCTTCAAGCATGGTGATAGAGCTCAGTTCTCTTGTCCAGCATCCCAGGCCAATTCCATAGGGAGCTGCAGGTATCCACCACCTCTGAAAAGCAGGCCGCTTATTTAGCCGTTAAACTTTAGGGCCTAAGTGACTTGCCCCTATTGAGTCACCGGAGAGACTGGAACAGAACCCAGGAGTCCGGACTTTAGTTATCCAGCCAACCCCCTGCTGGGCAGTTTATAGTAGGCCCATTTTGAACCTTGGCAGTAGAGCCACACAAAATTGCAATTGAGTCACAGCCCAAAACGGAGTAGCTTGATTCCCTCCCTGCAGGGGGACCTAGTGAACCCCAGGGGGAGCTGGGAGTGAGAATCCCCACTTATTTACTCCCCTCCTTATGCGCCCAACCCTGCGATGGGGCCACTCTCCACTGACTGGGATACAACTCAACAGACAGGAGTCCCTTGGGATTGTACCATTGTGTCTCCTTTGTGACCAGACTAGGTGATGTTAAGGGATCCCTGTTCCCCCTCTTAGCCCATTCTGCCAGGTCAGGCCTGCTCCCCTACTGTAACACCACTTTCTTTGTGTCTCGTAAGTTCCCAAGACCCTTCCAGTGAAAAGGCAGGCCGAGCCCCGCACCATCGGCCCCATGAAGGAGGAGGTCCCCTGGGAGGGGCTTACCCTCAACAAGTGCATTCTCATTGCCTCCTTTGTCGCTCTGCTAAGCATGGGCTTCCAGGTCTTCCAAGGTGAGAGACGTCAGAGCAGTGAGGCTGGGAGCTGCGCAGCATCAAGGGGCCTCCTGGGGAGCAGCCTGTCCCCGGGGAGGGGGTGCTGGGCCTGGAGACTGACCCCCCTTTTCACACCCAGAGGGCTCAGGAGTGAAACACATTCCTGGGACAGAGTGGGGGAAGCGAGCTCTGCTGCTGACCATGGAGCGTGTTTGGATTAGCGGTGCCACCTAGACCCCGGTGTGCTAATTACACAGCAGGAGCCATCTCTGCCTCAAAGAGCTTACAGTCAAAACAGACAAGACGGGTGGGAGGGGAAACAGAGGCACGGAGAGCGAAGGGACTTGCCCAAGCTGGAATAGCAGGCCTGTGGCAGAGCTGGGGCTCCGGCCTCCTAGTCCAGTGCCCATGGATTCTGAGCAGATTTGAAAGCAAGCAGCAAACTCCTGCTGCCAGATAAACGTGTTGGGCAGTGTCCGTACTGGGTCCTTGTGCTGGCCCAGGACAGATCCTGAGCTGCAGGAGCGGCTTGTGGCTGTTTTCTGTCATTGGCCGGGGCTTAGTCTCCTTCAGCAGCATTCTCGAAGCCTGGAAGCTAAGGATTTAACTGTGAACTGGAATTGTGTAAATAAATCTGCTTGGGAGCCCAAACCCTTCCCCAAATCTCTGTGCAGGCAGGAACCAACCAGCTACAGGAGCTCCTCCAGCACTTACAGGTTACTCATTCCTACTGCCCTAGCTAGTCACACCTAGATCCATGGGGCAGCATTTTCAGACGAGGCCCCACTAGCCATACTGGGGCTTGGTAGTAAAAGGGGGCTCAGTCTGGGCATCCAAAAACAGAGGCACCCACCAGTAGTGGGCACTCTGAAAATGGTGCCAGTCCTCACTCTGGGCCTTAGTTTCCCCATCTGTAAGACAAAGGATAAATGATAGTTACCTGCCTATCGCCCAGGACTTGTCTACATGGGGACACTAAGGAAAATTAATCCAAATTAAGCAAAGGTGTAAATTTAAAGTGGATTAGTTAAACCACATTAAATCCTTGTGTGATTATCTTATTCAGACTTAATTCACTTTGGAAATGAATTAAGCAAACTCTGATAAAGGCCATTTTTTCCTGAATAAGAGCATCCACACAGCAATTTAATGTGGTTTAACTAATCCACTTTAAAAATTAATGTGGATTAATTTCCTGGAGTATCCCGTATTGACAAGCCTCCACAAGGGGGAGTGAAGGCAAGTGTCGGTACTGCACTTCACGAGCCCTGGATATTATAGATCTAGAAACAAAATGGATCCACAACACCTGCTCAGATCTGAACCAGCATGTCCTCCTTGGTCAGGCAGTTCTGGGTCAGGCGTTTGGCTTGAGCCTATTTCTAATGCATTCCCCATTGAAGTGTAACCAGCTCTGGGGTGGAAAGCAGCAGCTGTGAACCAGCACACAGGAACACTGCACACTCTTTCCCTCTGGGCATCTCCAAAGGGCTGACCTTGCACACTCTCTCCCCGTTCCCAGATAGGGTGACCAGATGTCCCGATTTTATAGGGACAGTCCCAATTTTTGGGTCTTTCTTATATAGGCTCCTATTACCCCCCACCTCCTGTCCTGATTTTTCACACTTGCTGTCTGGTCACCCTATTCCCAGATGTCATCGACGTAGACGAGGTTCCCGAAGCAGAGCCCAGCCTGTGGGCCCAGCCTGCGCGCAGCCTTCCCGAGGATGGTGCCGGCAAGAGGGTAAGGCGAGGAGCCGCAGTGCAGGAGGGGCCTTGGAGACACCATCTCCGAAAAGCAGCCACTGGGCTCCGGGGGGGGTGGGAGGGGATGTTTTAACTCTGCCCTCCACTAGTGATCGCAGTCACGTGCTGGGCTAGCGGTCGTGGCAGCGAAACCCATTTGTGGAACCATGTCAGGGAGGGAGCTGGGGTGGGGCACCATCCTCTCCTCCCCCCTTCCCCCGCAGCAAACCAGAGAAAATCAGCCAAACACGTCACTGAAGCCCTGGAGTCCCCGAGAAGGGCTTTCACCTTGGACAGGGCCCATCCTGCAGCCCTTACTCCCACGAGCAGTCAGTCCCATTGAAATCAGGGGGTGACTCCCAGGAGAAGGGCTGCAGGGGCAGGCCACAGCCACCTGGAGCCTTGGGACCCATTTAGAGAGAAGGAGCCAGGCCAGTCCCAGCTCATTGGGCCCAATCCTGCGAGACACAGGCCCCTGCACCACTGGAGTAGATAGGAACTGAGGGCACTTTACGTCACCCAGGGACACTCGCCATGTCCCAGAATCAGGCCCAGCTTCAGTAAATGCTGAGCTGGTAGAAGGGAGCTCGAGAGCCCACGGCTGTGGTGTTTGAGGCATTGCCGACAGCCCTGGCACCAGGCACCCCCGCGCCAGGTCACTGCTAGTGCAGATGGGACCGTCCCAGCCCCTCTTGATAACAGGTAGGTCTGCCCTGCGGGCACTAGGGAGCTCTGAGCTTGTCTGGCTGCTGCTCCGAGTGCCCGGGGGCCACAGACCAGCTTGGTAGGTCACATGCCACGCCAGAGCAGGGCCAAGGCTCTCTGTAAACAGGAGGGAACGAGGCAGGGTCCTGCATGGAACTGCCTGTGTCTTCTTTAAAGATGGAGTTCGCGCCAGCTGCCATGGCAATGGCCGGACAGACAGACGAGGGTCCTGGCGCCCTGGGCTGGCCCAGGACCCGGTGGTAAGAGCGGGCCCGTTGCCTTGCGCTGCTGTCCCCTGCAGGGAGAGCTGTGGTTTTTCAAGAGCTGGTTGAGCTGGTTGGAGCCGGAAGAAGCAGAAGATCCTGAAGCCAAGGTGGAAGGAATGCAGCAGGACTCCCCAGGCAGGGCAGAGCCGAGAAGGGGCCAGAAGCCGAGCGCGCTGGAGAAGGAGGTAGAGAAGCCCAGAGAGAGTGTGGTGGCTCAGCCGGAGAGAGGCGTCAAGGAGATGAAGCCCAAGGACAGGCCCCCAGAGGGCCAGGCCAGCAAAATGCACAGGGCGCCCCCAGCAGGCTCTGAGCAGGAGGAGGAGGAGGAGGAGGGGCAGCAGCGCAGCAGCAAGAGAGCCCGTGGGGAGGGGAAGGAGGGCAAGCGGAGGGAGGGGAAGGAGCGGCCCAGGCGGGACGAGGGGAAGGGCCGCCACCCCAAGCCCGACTCACCACCCCAAGGGCCAGGCCGCAAGGAGCACCGGCATGACGAAAGCGGGAAGCGGGACTCTAAGCAGCACAAGGGCCGGAAGCCGTGGGAGCAGCACAAGTTCAAGGAAAGCAAGAGGCATGACTGAGAACCTGCCCCCTCGCGTCTGAATATTCTTGAGCAACGGGGTTGAACAACACTAAATCTGGGGGCACCCAAATTCCCTGCCCCCCAAGGCTCCAGCCTGAAGGCAGCACGTAATCAGCCCAGCACCAGCCTTTCCTGTCATCCCCGAGAGCCGCGCTCACGTGTGAGATTTGCTGGCCATTGTTTTCTCCTCCATAGACATCGCTTGTTTGCTGAGTTCCCCAGGAATTACATACACCTGCCATTGATAACCCTGCCTGTGGTTACAGAGAAGCAGCGTGGTTTTGTGGTTAGAGCCACAGACTGGGCGGTGGGAGACCTGAGTTCTGGTCCCAGCTCTACCACTGACTTGCTGGGTGGGGCTGGGCAAGTCATGTCACTTCTTTGTGCCTTGTGTTTCCCCAGCTGTAAAATGGGGATGATGATACTTCGCTATGGCCCAGGGGTTGCTGTGAGTGCAGGTGAGAAGCTTTGAGATCCCTGCATCAGTGCTGTGTATCGCTGCTGGAGTGGGAGCGCGGCCGGTGCTGTCGTGGGCCTTAGGTGCAAATTTGGACTCCCCTGAGTTCGATGCTTAAAGGAGAGCTGAAAAGGGGGGATGAGTTTGTCCTTTCTTGCTTCATGGGCGGTCCCCCAGCCCCACCAGAAATATTTTTCTGCTTGTTTTTTTGACCTTACAAATAATCAGACTGTCCAGGTATTGCTGGAGGACTCTTTGGAGGTTTTGCATGTACAAAGAGCTCTCTCAGGGTCCACAGATGTCAGTTTTTCACCTGGAGAGCTTTTCTCCCAACTGTTTGTCAGACATCTGAATTAAATTGGTGTTAACAAAACCAAACCAGAAGACAAAGGTTCTAACAGCCTGAATAGAAATCCCATTCCCTGCCAATGATTCAGGTTTCAGACCCCCATGGTGCCCACAATGCTACAATCCTACTCGTTTTCCAGTCATCCCTAGAGACTTTAAGGAAAGCTGAAGGTCTAATGGCAAAGCCAAGCAGGTGGGTGCTGGGGTGGGGGAAACCTTCTAGTTTTCCTTCTAAGACAGGAGCAAAAAAGGCACCACCCCCTATTTTCCGGTGCGTCCCCGTTCAGTGGCAGTTTGAATGGCTAGAAACACAAGCGAAGTGCGCTGTTTTTCAATGCTTTAATAAGAACAGAAGCAGCATTGCAGCCCCAAACAGCTGAGGTAAATAGTTTATTCTGACCTCTACCGAGTTAGCAAAAATGTCCTTTTTAACAGTGTATTAAACTGAATGGTTTCAAAAACAAATCTGGGTCAAGGTTTTTATAAGTTTGGGTGAATCTTCGCCCTGGCTGGAAACAGCCCCACCCACCAGGAGACAAAACTGCAGCCGTTCAGTCACAGCTGAAGGATTAAAAATCAAAGCTGCCAACGGTAACCTGACACAATGAGCCCAGGCCTGCTCCCCTGGGAGTCACTGGCCGTGGGACTTTGCCAGCGTCCTCCCTTGGGTTAGAGTTACCGTTCTGTGGCATGAGGTGGCAGCGGCTGCCCAAGATTCATGCTAGACTGCTACAGCAGAGGGGGCTGCACGTCAGGCCTAGAGGCTTTGTGAATAGCCAGGGCCTGCGGCAAGGGAGGGGGACTGAGCTGCATTGGCAGAGCTGCAAGAGGGGCCCAGCACTGGCATAGCAGGGGGGGGCGCCCCTCCCGCAGCAAACAGAAACAGCAGCGCACTAGGTGCGTGGCAGAGGCCTGTAACCAGAGCTCCCCATCAGCGTCCACGGAGCTGCACAAGCTCCGGGTCACTCAGGGATTCTGCACCAAGGGGCTGACTGTGAGCTGCACCCCAGCAAAGCCCTGGCTGGGCTGGGGAGGGGGTGTGCCCACCACCCCTGTGATAAGTGAGGGAGGGTCCCCGAAGCCCTGGTGAGCAGATCTTCCCTTCTCTCGCTCCGCTCTCGAGGAGCCGCCTGGCCAAAGCATTGCTCCAAAGCACTGGTTCTCAACCGATTTCCCATTGGGGGCAGCACATGCAGCTTTCTGGGGGTTCTATGGGCTGCAGCCACACAAGATACACGCTACCTGTATGGCCCTGAGGATGTCACATGGGCTGCAGACGGGTGCTGATTGGGCTGCAAGCGGCCGGCGGGCTGAGAATCACTGCTCTAAAGAGCCACCGCGTGCTCCCTCCACGTGGGGCTGAGTTAGCTGCCCCTACAGCGCCCTGCCAGAGGAGGGTAGTCATGACCCCTGATTGCACCTTCCTGCCCCTTCTTCCTTTCTTCAACCGCACAAACATTGGGGTGGATGTAGAGTTGAACTGAGAGGCTAGGCAAGCTTCGCCCATAGCAATGCCATGCCCCTCGTGGCTGGCCTGCAGTGCCCCTCCCACACCAGCCTGATCCCCAGCCCTGCCATGCAGCACCCCTGCTCTGCCAGCCCCCCCCAATGCACCACACACCTGCTCTGCAGCACCCCGTGCTCCACCAGCCCGATCTCCCTGCCTTCCACGGGCCTGTGGCCTGCGCTACACGGCCCCTGCTCTGCCAGCCCAGGACCCCCACCCTAGCGCTGGCTCTCAGCACAGGATTTGAATCTCTGCTTCCACAATGAAGTGGCTGGTGTGCAAAGCCCAGCACCTGACCTAGCCCATGGCATCCCTCAGTGGCACTAGCATGTTTGCATCAATCTCCTGTCTGCAGACTCACTCCCCCTCCCCCATTACAGATTTCCCCCCAGGATCCCCCCCCCCCCAATCACCCTCAGCACGAAACGGTGAGAAATGAAACCAGACGATATTGAGAAATAGCTGCACATACAAGAATCAGGCAGGAAGGGGCCGGGGTTCTGCTGCCCATCCACATCCCACCTCTAACAAAGCTGGAGCGGGTGGGGGTCAGATTTGGCCGATTGCTGCCCTCTAAGCTCCAGGAACGCGTCACTTGCGCCGCCCCAGCGCTCTGCTGCCATTGGGGGGCAGATGCACCGGGGGCTGCCATCAGCTTCCCGGAGCGTGACGGGCCCATAAACCTACCAGGGCCAGGGGGAAACAACGAGCCAGTATTGCAGGGGAAAGGCAGCTGTGGAACCAACAGCCCAGGCCACGGCCTCAGCTCAGTCACCTCCCTCCAAGCTCTGAAGGCCAAAAGGACGCCAGGGAGAGACGGGACAGGCCGGGCATCTCTACCGACAGCCGCACTCCTCTGCCACCATTTCGGGGTACGTCGTGACCTGCAAGCCCTCCCCGGTGAAGAGGATGACGTCCTGGCTGGAGTATTTGACGGGCACACAGCAGGGGCTGCGCCGGAGGGGCGTGCCCCGTGCCTGCATTTCCAGCAGCAGCACCGTGTGGGAGGAGTAGCCGGGGCTGCGGGTAGAGAGCGGGCGGCGGCAGGGGCCCTCGCAGTTGTTGGCAGTGTATTCCACAGGGACGATGATGAAATCGTAGCGGAGGTTGATCGTCAGCTCCTGCAGCCGGCAGTAGGCCTGGGGCCCAGCGCTGCGGTTCTGCCGGGACACCTTCCTCTTCTCCTGCCAGTGGGCGCGCACCGTCTGCAGGGCTTTGAGCAGCAGCAGCGTGCGCAGCTTCCGGTGGCCATGGGGCAGCTCCGTGGGGTCGCCGCTGCCCGACCCCAGGGGGTAATAGCAGAAGGCCAGGAGGTGCTGGAAGAGGTCCATGTTGGCTTGAAAGGCTGGGATCTCCCTCAGCTCCTGGATGACAGCCTGGAGCTTCTCCAGCAGCCTCTGCAGCAGGCTCCCCTCCAGCCGCCAGTGCCCGAACTGCTGCTCCAGCAGCGCCTGGCTGTTCTGGGGGAACAGGAGCACCAGGGGCTCGTCCGACTGCACCAGCCGCTCCAGGGCTGCCTGCTCCGACAGGTTGAGCAGCCGGTGAGGAAGCGTCTCCATCGTCTTGAAGTCCAGCCAGTGGTGGAGGCCGGAGGCAGCAGGCGGCTCCCCCGAGGGGCTCAGGACCCTGCTGACGAACCTGGTCAGGCTGCCCAGGAACTGGTCATGGCTGCCGGGCGCTGGGGATGAAGCATTGGCCTGGCCAGCAGCTGCATTAGAGGCCGGCTCCTCGGCCTTGCCACCAGGGGGCGAGCTGCCAGGGAGAGACACAGCGGGTCACAAAGGGTCCTTTATGCGACGGGCCCAACCACAGGCCTGGGGGTTTCCCCTCCCCCATGGGGCCCACCTCCCCCCCCCCCCACGGGCACAGGGCCTTCCCCTCCCCCATGGGGCCCACCCCCCCCATGGGGCACAGGGCCTTCCCCCCCACACACTTGGGACAAGGCACCGCCCGCAGGACCTGGCACTCCCTGCCCCACTCCTGCCGTAGGACATTAGCAGGGCACTGCAGAGCGCATTTTGCCTGACCCAGTCTCCTAGCACCCCAGTGCCCCCTGCTGGGCTCTGTACTGGAGCGGGCGCCCAACCCAGGAATGCTGTGGGGCTGGAGCCCGAGGGGCTTTCTTCATGTCCCACAGGGAGCTCAGTGCTGGCGAATGGTGCCCAGCTGGCAGCCACCAGAGCAGAGAGGGCTCTAGCCACAGAGCAGGTGCAGCCGCATGAGCCTCCCACCCTGGCCTACCAATGCCCCCCTCCAACTGTCCGTCTGCGGGGCTCGCTGTCCCTTGGGACTCTGCGCTGGAGCAGTGACAGGCTGGAGCAGAGGTTGCCACGTGGGCACCTGTCTCCCAAGAACAAGACTGAGAACCACCCAACTCATTTCACATGGCCCTCAGAAGGGAACATGCTGCACTCAGACCTGGGGGCAGCCCCTTCCCCAAGCCACCAGCCCCTGCACCCGCCCCCCCATCTTCAGAAGTGCCCTCGACATGTGACTGGGCTGCCCCCAAAGAAGCCAGCCCATGCAGAGCCCTGGACATGGAGAACAGCCCAGAAAGGACCAGTCTTCTGGGACACTGTCCCCCCATGCCCAGCACCGGCGCTGCTCCAACCTCAGACACTCGGCCTGTCCGTTCTAACCCCATGGGCAAAGCAGGGGTGCTAGGGCAGGCTGAGCTGCTCAGAGCTGACGGCAGGTGACTGGGGGTCTCCCCAGCTGGAATGGCGGGCGCTCCCCGTTTCCATCCTGAAAGCCTGCACACCTGGGCTGTGGGTAAGGGACCGTCTCCACCAGGCCGCCCACTGAGAGGAAGGAAGAGGGGGACGGGGCGTCTGCCTCGCACCGCGGCTTCACCAGCAAGAGCAAGGCTGGGGTCATCCTGGTGAAACACTTCTCGTCAGCCCCGAAGAGCAGTTGCTGGGCCTCCAGGGGGGGCAGGAGGGAGCCTGGCAGGGAGCGGAGAGGTTGGAGAAGGGAGAAATCAGCAGCAGCAGGACGCAGCTTCCCACTAAGGGGCTTGGTGCCCTCCCCAGACACCCACCTAGCCCCTGGGGTGGAGCCCACAGTTGTCCTCACGCTACAGCGGGGGATGAAAATGATGGGGCTTTCCAAAGGTCCCCCAGAGCCCCAGATAGAACCCAGGAGTGTGGGCCGCCACTCCCCCGCACTAACCCCTAGGCTGTACTGCCGACGCGGATAACCCCTCTGTGGTTGCGTACAGCAGCCAATCATGCCTCCCCCCACTGACGCTCGAGACCCCCATGGGCTCCGGGCCCCCCAGCCATCAGAGAACTCTCAGCTGCCCGGGGGGCGCCCCCTCGTACCTCCATCACTGGGACGCCTGAGTGCCAAGGAAACGTCGAAGCTGAGCTGCCTGTGTGAGCGGAGGGCAGACATCACCGAGGCCCTGAGCAGCAGGTACCGGGTGTCCCTGGAGAGGCAGAGAGCCTGCAGAGAGAGCAGCGCCCCGGGTGAGCAGAAGGGGTGGGCGACGGGGGCGACCCTTTGCACACGGACCCGTCCCTGCCTGGTTCCCCCCATACGGTGGGACAAGACTGTACCCAGGGGCCGGGCCTGCAGGGGCCCAGGCTGCTGAGCATGAAGGAATATAACGGACTGTTCGGGAGCTGGAGGGGAACAGCAGTCTGGTCTGGATCTCCCCCTGCCTGCAAACCAGAGGCCTTGCTGGCTACAAAGGCAGCTCTGACTATGTCCTTCAGGGATCTACACACTGACGCAGCATTATAATCTGTTCCTGGCTGGTTCGGGCTTCTCAGCACATCTGCTGAGCGGCTCCCAGGGCTGCAGGGATCAGAGGGGGCAGGCAGGGCCATGCCCCCGGGGAACAGGGCGAGGGGGGCTCCCATCTCTTCAGCACTGGGAGATGCTGGAAAAGGAAAGGGCCAGAATCTGGAGCAGTGGCCACGGCATCTTTCCCCCTGCTCCTCCCTTCTCAGGCTGGGAGTGGCGCTTAGTGCTCATGGCCCGCTCAGCCCTTGGCCCTTTTGCTGTGACTGCCAACAAGGAGCTGACAGGGCTGCCCCGAGCAGGCAGAAAACCCGAGACCCAGCATGCTCACTCCACACCAGCCACAGGACAGCTGGGAGGCAGCTTCCAGCCCCTGCTGACCGGAGATGATTTCACCCTAGTGCTGGAGGGTCAGGGGCGTGCCCCCAACCCTGCCATGCTGGCAATGCTGACGCAGAGCCCACCTAGCCCGGGGCTTGGTTGTAAGTTCAGATTTAAAGAAGCAAGGAGCTTCTAAGCTGCCTGGGATTCTCCCTGTGCAGCCGACTGGGTGGCAGACCCCTGAAGGCCTCCCCCAGCCACGGGGCAGCTCAACGCCAGAGGAGCCTGACCAGTGCTCCAGCATGTCCCGAGGGAGCGCACTCATGTGCCTGCTGTGCCGTGCCCCAGCACAGGTCCCTTACTACTCCACTGACGGCAACAGGAGCTCGGTCGCGGCCTCCGACAGGGCTCCTGTATTTACTCCTTCCCCAACACAGGGCGAAACCCTACAGTCAGAGGTAGCGTTGCCGGAGTAAAGGCTGCAAGCTTTGGCTGGACACGTCTGAACGCCATTAGCAGTGTCTGTATTTATTTCCTCTCAGTGGTTCAGCCTCAAACACGCTCAGTTCACATGTGCGGAGCAGATCTAGCCAGCTGGCTGTGCCCTCCCCCGGGGAGCTGAAAGCCAGCAGATGCACCAGGCTCAGTCTCCTGTAGTGGGATCAGCTGTGACCGCCTCGTTTGCGTCAGCGACGTAAGCGAATCCTGGACGTACAGGGAGCAGCCGTGCTGAGAGAGAAGGCGGCAAGGGTAGGGGGGTTAATATTCACAGGGGTGGTTCCTGTGAAAAAAGTGAAATGGCAAAGGTGTGCCTGTAGGGGGCACTGCCCCCAGTCACGCCCTTCGGCTGCAGAACTGCTTGAGGGAAAGCACTTGAAAAATCTGGCCGCTTATTTTAGTGCCCACATGGCAGCTGAGCTCTTGGAAATCCAGCCCTTCGTGGGCACTTCTGCTCTGAAAAGTGACAATTAAAATGCCTCATCCTTATTCAACAGCTCTGCCCCGTGTGTGTATCGGAGCCCATCCCAATCGGCCCAGCTGTAGAAGACACCGGAGTCTGTTCCCGTTAGCGCTGCAAGGCCAGTCCAGCTCCAGGAGGGGGCGCTGGAGTCTAGTCCTTCATGTGCATCACCCATGGAGCCGTCCGAGATTCCCCTTGCATGGCCAAATTTAGCCTTGGGTTTCTCCTGTCCCACCCCGTTGGCGCCGAGGGCAGAATCTGGCCCGCAGACTCTTAGCGTGGGTGACGGGCCAGGTGAGAGAGGGAAAGTCATTCTCGGGGTACCCCTACACTGCAAATGGCAGCCCGCGGCCGTGAGTCTGAGCCCAGTTCTACAGCCGCCAGCATGCGGGGTTCACGCTCCGAGTCCGGCACGAAAGGCAGCGGTGTAAACGTTGCGACTCAGGCCAGAGCTTGGGCTCTGAAGCCCACTGACCCCCCTGGCTTCAGAGCCTGAACGTCTACACGGCTGCTTTTAGCACCAGAATCCGGTGCTCTGGGACTCGAGCCCAGCTAGAGTCCACAGGTGTAACGCCGGCTAACAGTGTGGCTCTGTGCCCCCCTTCAGTGGGGACAACACGTACACACAGTTACGAGTTGGCTTCAGCCAGCAGAACTGGTCCTTTAGCTCATGCATTTAGATAGAGGCGCTAGTTTTATTCCTTACTGATGACCCAGCCAGGGCTGTCGTTACGAGTTCAATGACCCTGCACGCCCCGTGTGAAGTGAGCACATTTGAGCTGCAATCCTCAACAGCCAATATAGACAGAGCCCTCCGGGGCCATTTTTAGTCGCCCCTCAGAGTAGAACCACTCGCAGCTCAGGCAACTTGATGCATTTTTATCAGTGGATTCATATGGAGACAGAGAGCGCAGCAGGCAAGCAGGGTTGGTGCATCTGCCCCTGCTGCCTGGTTACATGGGATGCCTCAGCCGGGGAGGCACCCTTCCCAGGAGTAACCCCGCCTCTCCCTTGCTGGACACAGCCTGGTACCGATGCTAGAGAGGTTGGAGCATGGGGAGTGCTGGCAGGTGAGTGGTGCTGTCATTTGACTGGGTGATGAATTGATAGTGAGCAAACCCCCCCCCCACGGAAGCTGAGAGCTCTCTGCCTGCCTCACCAAGGAGCATGGGAAGTTCTGGCTGCACACAGAGATCCCTGTCCCCTTTGTCTTTCCCACAGTACTCAGTTTGGATGATGGGATAAGAGCGCCACCTACAGGAACACCAGGGACACATCAAATCTCCACCTACATCAGGGACTCCAAGAGAATCCATGGAGGAGGTGGTGGAGGGATGGGCACCAGTATCATGGCACAAAATAAAAGTTATGGTGCAAGGTGATCTATGCAACCTAAAGCAACGTGCTTACTTGGTTGGTAGCCTGTGCCAGTCCCAATCCAGCTCCTAGTGTGGGGACCTATGCTGCAAAAAACCCCATCATGGCAGATGCTCCTTGCTCCTTGCTAGCAGCAGAGGGGGCCAAGGATTGACTGGGCCATGGAAACTGAGCCCTGTTAGTGATCTAGGACAAGGCATGTGGGGGGGGGAGCATGCCCTGCCACTGCTCAGCTGTGCCTGCTCTGCGCATAGCAGTTGGGAACAGATAAAGAAAGCCAGCCTTGGGCAGCTGCTTACCTGCGTCTGGTGCAGCCCTTCTCCTGCTGCCAGGAGCTTCTCTCTTGCTTTGCTGCCCTTCCTTTCCCTGCTTCCAGGATAAAACACCAGCAAGGCAGACTGGAGCTCTCCAAGTGACCGCCCCACGTCCTCTTGAAAAGCCAGCTTAAACCTGAGCTTTGTCTCAGCATCCCACTTCACTGCCAGAGAAAAGCCAACACAAACAGCATGACTCTCTCTGGGTAAATGGAAATACACCTTAGCATGCAGCTAACCTGTGGAACTCCTGGACACAAGATTGTCAGAGGCACACCCCATCAGTAAAAAGATTTTGAGCACGCACCCCCTGCCGCGCTGAAACAAAAACAAAACAAAAAAAAGCTGCTCGGACTCCCACCCGAACTGCCGAAGCGCTCCTCCTGCCGCGCACCCCCAGGGATCCCCCAAGGATCCGCGCACCCCCCTTTGGAGACCACTGCCTTAGAGGGAAGCCATGTTTAGCACCACAGTTCTGATTCCGTTCAACAGAGGGCAGAAGACTCTCCCACACACGCTGCACCCTGAAACCTTCCCCCCTTTTCAAACTCTGACCGGTCTAGTTTCTCCAGGCTCTCACTCCTGCTGTCTGACTTTAAGATAGACCCCTGGTGCCCCCCCAGAGATGGCTCTCCACACCCATAGCAGCCTCTGGGGTAAGGTGTGATGGGTGTGGTGATCCTGGAGAGATCAGAGCATTAGAAAAGGCATCAGAGCCAAGATTAAATTGAACCGGTCCTGACGTCCAGGCCTCTGTTCAATCCAGCAAGCCACATAGCCTCCATAAACCTGGTTTTGCAAGAACGCCCTTAACTTTGCATTAATTAAGTGACATGACTAGTGCTAACTAGCAAAGGCAAGTGATAATGCAGCAAAATATGGCTGAAGGCTTAGGGGACACCGTTTTGCTAAATTGAGGGGCAAATTTGTTTTCATTAAAAAAAGTACAAAAAATGGTTAACAGCAAACGCTGCCTGCTGTTTCGCAGGCCCTGGAAAGCTTCCCCAGGCCAGAACTAACAGATTATTCAGAGCCATACACAATAAATACAGCTGTCCTGGGAGCAGTTATAGCATGGTTTCTCTCACCAAGTATGCCCAAGATTTCTCTGTCTGAGAACAGTAATACAAAGCTATGCTTCAGGATGAACTGGATAGCTCGGGGCACTGCCGCCCAGGGACAGCCCTTTTCAGCTCTGTGTTGCTGGTTCAAATCCAGCCCAAGTCAGAGTTTTCAACAGCTGCTGGGTGCTCAGGGACGCCAGGCAGGTATCCATGGAACAAAACCCAGCTTCTGAGCCGGCCACCACTGTACAGGGCAGGCTCAGCAGAGAGGCCAGAAAAAATGGATGTGCCTTGGAGACCGAATTCCCTTTTCATCCATGGACATGATCCCACCCCTGAGCTGGAGAAGCAAAGCGAGGGAACACTGACATTGCAGCTGCATATGACTAACCCGATGTCAAGACCTGAAGGGCCCCATTATGATCATCTAACCTGACCACCTCAAGCCAGCACTAAGTCTTATATATTTAAATATGCTGTTGGCTGGGTGTAGGGGAGTGGGAAGAAAGTTCACCCACTTTAACTAGCATAGTTCTCAGCCAGGTCAAAACCTTGCCCATGCTAGAATGCTGCTGGTAAGAGATCCCTCAGACAGATGTGGCTGCCAGGGTGAACAGGGCCAAAGACAGAACCTCACTGATTTAGGAGAGTCTCAATGTTGCCTTTTCCTCACAGCCCCCCCAGGGTAAGAAGGGGGGCTACGCCTGGACAGATCCATTCACATTTGCCTGCTTAAGAGTCCTCGTGCCATGTACTGCAAAAGAGGAACGGCAGGGTTTTTACACAGGCAAATTCACCCTGGCAGCAAGGACTGAGATATGCTTCAAGAACAGGATTGGAGACATTTCGCAGGAGATCGACACTACCGGGGGAAGAACAAGAGTGAATTGTTCTCAGCAATCGGCTCTCTCGAGGATTTTAGGCCAGGCCCCCCGCTGGGGTATGAAGAGCTCCTATGAACTGGGTCACTGCTAAGAGGAGGCAAAAACATTGTTGCCACCTTTAGGAACATATCCTCTCTCCCCCCCCCCCTTTTCTCCAGTAAGAGAACATGGTCTAAACCAGTGGTTCCCAAACGGGGGTTCGTAAACCCCTGGGGGTTCACCAAATGTTACAGGGGGTTCTCCGGGAAAAATTCCCTAATGGTGGACAGAGCTGTCCCTAGGGACCCCAGGCAGCACGGGGACTTCCAAGAGCTAAGCAGATCAAAGCAAACATATCTATCACACTGAGGAGATTTAAACTTCACGCCTCCTTATAAGAAATGGAAAGGGAGGTGGACATTTTTTGCTGTTTTTAAAATTAAATAGGCAGCTAGTGTTGTTTTTAAATTATTATGAAGAACAAGTTTAAGCTTTGTTGTAATGTGCATTGTTTGCCTGGACTGCTCAAGACCTGAATGCTTGTGTAGGAGGAACTCTTTGAGTTGGCTTCTTAAATACCTTCATGCTGTTTCACATCTGATACTCCTTGATGAAACATAGGAGTCAGAGGCGCCAGTATGGGGGGGCGACGAGGGTCATGTGCCGCCCCCTCCATGGGTCTCTCCCCTTTTTTTCCATGGCCCCCGCGGTCCCACTTTTCCGGCAGTGCCCCCCCAGGCCCTAGGGTGCACAGGGGCTTTGCCCCCGCACCCTTTTTTTCTACTGGCGCCTCTGATATAAGACAGGGCTCCTAACAGGCTTAATCAAAAGTGATATAAGCTACAAAAGTGAGATCTTGGAAGAGTTGCCGTTTTCATAATGTAATAAAAATACTGTAATGATAAATTATAAAAGCAGTGATCTTGGAAATATAAAATTTGTTTTTATGACGTGCTTATTACACACTATTTATTAATTATTATTTATGTTAAGGTAAGGGAGAAAATCCCTGGAAATATTCATTTTTAGGAGGGGGTTCATGAGACTTGACATTTTAGTGAAAGGGGTTCACGGGTTGTTAAAGTTTGGGAACCACTGGTCTAAACTGATCCTTTGGATTTTACCGTAAATATTGGAGGAACAAGTGAGATGGCCCTTGAGGGCCAGGAACAAGGGCAGTGGTGGAGTCCATTAACCCAGCAGCATTGGAAGTCACAGCAGAGGATGGGAGGTTGTTAGGGATGGGGGGGGGGGACACACTCGAGGTGATCACAATTCAGATGGTGGCTAAAGACAAATGGGAAGTTTATTGTACTGATTAGGTAATTTCGACTCAGAGAGGGACTCCCCTTCCCTCCCCCATTTCATCTTCTACCAACCCCTCTCTTCGGTGTGCAAAGCAGTATTTGCTGGGCAATACCACGCGTATCAACATGGTATCGGAGCATCTCTCTCAACCCATCAGTCAGTTCAGGGGTCTCTTAGCACATACCTTCTTCAAGATGCAGCAGAAGGAACCTGTTCTCCCCTGGGTCAGCCAAGTGGGCACTGATGCGTTTCAGAGACAAGAGAGCAGAATGGGCCTCCCCAGCAGGACAGATCCCAAAAGTCTCCAGCCGGCCTTGCTCCCAGCTTGAACGTCTCACCACTTTGAGGAAATCGCTTTCATAGCTGGTAAGGACCCCCACGACTTCCAAGTGGCTCTGGCCCAAGCCGTACCGCCTGCCCATTTTCACCGTGCACACTGGCCCTTCCAGCCCACCAATGGGCCAAGGGGGGAGGCTGGAATCTGACCCCAGAACTGGGAAAACTGCCTCCTCAGAGATGAGCGGAGGGCATTTTGCTCCTTTGGCATCATCTCCTGGCTTGTCACTCTTCAAGAGGAGACGAGTAGCAGTGGTGGCCTTGGGCGTCAATGCCATTAAGTTGAGTTCTGCTCCTTCATATATGCTCCCGTCTTCCTTTTCTCTCCGCTCCTCTCCAAATCCCAACTCCTTTGAAAAGGTTATTTCCAGTTCTTCAGCAGGTGAAAGTCCTCCCTCGACACCTCCTTTTCTTAGCAGAGCAGTTGAGGGGAGGAGCAGCAGCAGGCACTGCAAAGCCATTCCAAGCACGGGCCTCATGTTCCAGCTCTGAGCAGCTCTAAACTCCGAGGCTAGTTACTCGAGTGCATCCCTCGAAACACTTATGTAAGGGGAGGATTGCATCTCCCGTTCAAACAAAGTGACCTTGGGTTGACAATGCACAACACACCTCCCTTGAGAAAAATTCAGAGGCCAATGTGCTATAAAGGAGGGAGGGCCGATTCAAAGGAGTTTTTCTGTTCTATTTTTGGCATTGCATCTAGTGCTTGGAAATGTTATAAAATTAAAGCTGTTTACCTTATTTGTAGGGATGCTTGTCCTTGACTTAAGATGTTTTTAAAGAAGGGTGTGGAGAAAGAAGGCCAGTCCGGCTTGAATCTTCACTGGGATTGGCAGACATTTCTCTTAGGACTTGAAACATCCAGGAGGTCAGAGTTGCTTAGACTGGATGGAATGGGTATAAGTAGGGGGAATGGGAAGAAACTGAGAGAAGGTAGGTTTAGACTGATCAGCTCTCTCTACTGGGAAGCTTCCCTTGATTACTGGGAGCACCAGCTCTTCCATTCTGCCGACTGTTTAGAGAGGTCACCTCATAAAGATTCGCATTCTATCTCCTAGAGCTGGAAGGGACCCTGAAAGGTCATTGAGTCCAGCCCCCTGCCTTCACTAGCAGGACCAAATACTGATTTTGCCCCAGATCCCTAGGTGGCCCCCTCAAGGACTGAACTCACAACCCTGGGTTTAGCAGGCCAATGCTCAAACCACTGAGCTATCCCTCCCCCCAGGAGTTCCAGTCCAACTCCTCCCAAAAAACTAGGAGCATCAGGAAGGGGTCTCCCAAGGGAAGAAATGGAAGCCTCAGACCTTGAGACAAAAACTGGACTGGATTAGAGAACATAGGGAACAATCCTGCAATACCCTGTCCCCACTGGGCCATAACTACTGGCAACGTCTCCTTTTTTTTACCGTCTCTGATACCAAACGGCTAAGGCTGGCCACCACATCTATTCCATGGAAATTTGATGCCCATGGGTTTTTAAAAAGGTAATTGTGTCTTCAAAACCAAGTTCAACACACAGCCAGACCTTTCTGTTGGTCTATTCTGTGTGCAATACTCATGAGCTAGATACAGCACAATGACTCTCAATCTGCAGCAGCGCTGGAGACCACGGTCTGGGAATAGACCAAAGGGCTTGTTTGCTCAGAGTTCTCTTCTACTGAGAGACTCACAAGTGACAGCCTCCAACCCATCTCAGGGTAAGATATTTCAACCTGATAGACACAGATTCAAGCCACAAAGGCTATTAAGATGCAGGTTTCAGGGTACCAGCTGAGCACCAGCTCATCTTAAGAGAAATCCCTCTTACTATTGTTCTACAAGTTAAAAATCGCACAATTTTCATTTTAAAACATACGTTTGTGGCTTTGTCCACTTCGAAATTCTATTTTACACTGACCTTGCCCACAGCTGTCTGACACAAGCCATGTAAGTTCTCCGACAGAATCACTGTACAGCTTCTGCACTGGAACAGGAGTCCTTGTGGCACCTTAGAGACTAACAAATTTATTTGAGCATAAGCTTTCGTGGGCTACAGCCCACTTCTGTAGCCCACGAAAGCTTATGCTCAAATAAATTTGTTAGTCTCTAAGATGCCACAAGGACTCCTGTTCTTTTTGCGGATACAGACTAACACGGCTGCTACTCTGAAACCTTCTGCACTGCGTATACAAGATGCAGCCATAGACAGCCCACAAGGCAAAAATCTACTTCTATCAAAAGTCTGCTGAGACACATATGGCCAGATCCAAACCTAGCAAAACAAGTGCAACTGCACTCAAGTGAACAGGGGCGGAACTGTCTCAGACCAACTCTGAATTTGGACCACACTGTACATGCTCATCAGAAGGCCAGTACAAGTTTAAATTCTGGAGTGGGTGAAACAGCCAAGGGAAAGTCAGCTGTCATGGAATCCCACAAAAGTTTTTTGTGGGTGTGTGTTGGGGGGGTGGAGGGAAATGGATGATGATCGTAAGTGCCAATGTAGAGCAGGGAACAGTCCCCAAATGCTAGGACTCCCTTGCTGAGCAAAAACAACACTGGGAGAAGTGTTGTGTTGGAGCTCATGAGACTGAGCTGATGTTACTTCAAGTACATTTAATTCATGGTTACTTCAGTTATATAGTTGAGATTTCATGTGAATTCTACTTATTTTCCCAATGATTGGATTATAACTTTGAATATATACCACTAAGGATAGCAAGGCTGACAATATTTTCCTATCTACCCATTTTCTTGGGCCCTTTAAGGCTACTAATGGGGAAATACGGGCAACATTCTTAATCCAAAGAAACAGACGTAGATACAGAAAACAACATAGAAAGCCTTTTAATGAACCTACAGGATTCAGGCAAAGCTATTAGCATATAAAAAGGACAGAGATTTCCCTCTGAGCCAATAATGGTTTGTAATTAAACACAAATCAAAAGGAGTCCACTGGGAAAAGAGTCCAGGAGGAGCTTCAGTTGGAAGGAGGTGGGGGGGGAATAGTTCCTGGCCCCTCAGTGGGAAGCGGTGGTCTCATCATGGGGGGCAGAGGAGCAGGGGGATGTACCCCAGGAGCTGGTGGCAGCTGAGGTGGTGCTGGGGGCGGTACAGGTCCAGAGGGAGGCATAGGTGGCAAGGTCATGCCGCCTGGAGGAGGAGGTGGTGGCGGCATGGAGTCCGGGAGAGGTGGTCGTGGGGGCAAGCCATTCATCAGTGGGGGCGGTGGAGGCCTCTTCACGGTGGGGGGTCCAGGAGGGATGCTCTGGGGAGCTGGGGGCTTCTCCATTTTGAAATGGAACTGAAGGAAAAACTAGGGCAAAAAAAACAACAGGGACAGATTCAACCAACAAACCAGCTTGGGAACCTCATGAGGTGGCTGCCCCACCATGTTCTCTCCCAGGACCCCAAGAAACACAGAGTTAACCATTGAAACATTAGGCTTAATGCTTCCAGCCTTAGGTGTCTGATCACATCACACTCAGCCTCTCCATCCACAGACAACTCCTGGGCTTGCACCAAACAGTCCCACTTCTCATTCTACATACTCCGAAACACCCTCTTTGGATGTTAATTGATCACTACTCGCTTAGTGATTACTCAGAACCCAATCGCTATTTATGTCACCCCATCCCTGCTGTACTGTGCCCAGCCTTCTCATGTATATACTGTGTGGGCACATCACCCCCACAGTCGCGCGTGCAAGTTAGTGGCAGTGCATGGTGCTACTATGTATTGGTCCCTTGGTGCTGCCCCTTTAGTAACTCAGATGGGCCAAGGAAGTTCACGTCACGGGCCAAAGACACATTAGACGAGAGAGACCGAAAACGGAATTTTGAGCACAGGCCCAAGGAAAGAAGAACTCCAGCACACAATGTCTTTGTGCTCAGGGTCCTTAGGAAACTGGGTAAACGTAATCAATCAGCCAGACCCATCACCAAGCATTCAACCCACACTGGAGATTGGTGTTCGGAACCTGGGCTTGCGAGAGGCTCAGCACGCCAGCACTGAAGGAACATGAAGTATCAGTACTAGTATACTGGTAACCAACGGCCTGTGCTCCCCCCCTCCCCCCGTTATCTTTTCACTCCCTCACAAAGAAGTGAGAAATATGAGTCACCAGCTACCTGTTTGGTTTCTCTGTTCCAGTGGGTCCAAAACTTTCCTTCTGCTTTGTCAATTTCTCTGCTTGGCACCTGTAACAAAAGGAGTAAAGAACTATTATTAGCACCACCAGATTAGCTCCATGCCCCCCCCCCTTTTTTTTTAAGCACTAGAGCTACAAGATAAACAGAGCTATTCCCGGCTTTTGAGAGATGTGCTAGTATCAGACATTAATAGACAGAGGGGAGGAATTAAGTCACTTTCATATCTGCCAAGGGCAAGTGTATCGACAGAAAACGGCTCCTCCTAACACCTGCAAAAAAGGACTCGGGAGCACCTTTCTGTGCTAGAGGCAGACAATGCCTCGGCTGCCCAGATGGCCTGGTTTCCATGCTCTCAGCCACATGCCTCTGTTGATCCCAAAGGGTGGTCCAGAAGTCTGTGCTCGCCCTCCTCTTTCAACACTGCCAACCAATCCCCCCATCCACATAGGCTCGATGGAACAGGTCTACACTGCTCTTTATTCCCCACTGTGAGCCCAACAAATGCAGCAAATGCATGGGGTGGCAGAGAGACCAACATGCAGGAGGTCAGACTAGGTGATCGTGGTGGTCTCTTCTGGCCTTAAAGTCGATGAGACACATTCTCAATCACTATTAGCCCATAAGCCCTTAAATGGTACCTTGAAAGCAATGGTTTCATAGGGCTCTGCGGCCATCAAAAGGTATTGCCAGCGTCTGTCTGGGGGCTCAATCCTTTGCTCATATGCAGACATGAACCGATGTCTAGGCATGATGGTTTCAGCAATCTCTGGGTAATCTATCTGTGGGGTGATATTGCAGCATGAGATACAGACTCACTCCTCCCTCCTTCTCTCAGCAAAACACTCCAGGCTATAAGGAAAGGCCAATACACATCCTTCAAATGGAGACGTTAGTACATTTACTGCTGGTGAAAGAAACCAGCTTGACAGGCTTGGTCGTGGATTCCTACAGTCACCCAATCTAGTTACAGCATCATCAGGAGCAGTACCAGCAGTGAGAGTCTCCCCCAGCACCAGTGCCAATGTGCCAAACCGCAGTCCTACAGAGACCATCCCTAGGAACAAGAGGGTTGTTCAGTCTCCAGGGCCCCTTCAGTCCTCAGCCCGTGTCAAGATTATTATAATGGCTGGTTTTTATCGTGTGGGAACGTGTCTACCAGGAACTGAGCCAAGACCCACAATGCCAGTCTCTCTTTTCTAATGCAGCCTGCTGGGAGCTTCCAGCTTAGCAATTCCTTTACTAGCATCTCTCAGAGGGATGCGAGGTGAACAGTACCTTACCTGGAAGAGGAGGCTCTGTTGGCCCATTTCTGGATCTCTCTGTTTGGTCACTGTAATAGAACAATGAAGGAGTTCAATACAGCAGTGG